AGTAGTTTTTGGTTGGTGCCCTATCAAATATGGAAAGTGAAAAGCAGCATTTTCGGCATATTTTACTTTTTTACTATCGAAAAGGTAAAAATGCTGTTCAAGCAAGAAAAAAATTATCCGATGTGTATGGAGAAGATGTATTGACAGAACGCCAGTGCCAAAACTGGTTTGCAAAATTTCGATCCGGCAATTTTGATGTTGAAGATGCACTACGTTCTGGAAGGCCAGTTGAAGCTGATGAACAATAAAGGCATTAATTGATGCAAACCGGCGAATAACAACTCGTGAGATCGCTGAGAGATTAAATTTATCGAATTCGACCGTTCATGATCATTTGAAACGCGTGTGATTGAAAATCCTCTTTCATTTTCAAAGAAAAAACGAAATTACTTTCCGAACAACCTAATATATTATATATAGTTAATACGCGTGTCACATACTTGGTCTAAAAAAGATCACTGTCGAAAATGTCAAAATGTTTGACATGATTAATGAATGAATGAATGACATGATTAAATCTGTTAAGAAAACCGGATTTTTTTATGGCAAATTAGTTTGTAAACGAGAATTAGGGAAATTTGAAACTTGTACATACTAATTGAAGGTCGAAACGTTTATGTTTTGTATCATTTATGATTAAAGTAATCACTTAAACAGAAAATGTTATCACACTAAGAACCAGTGTAGGCTTTAATGCTCCTTTTTTATTCTGATCAGATTCAGATTTATTCTGTAAGTCGATATGATTATATTGTTGTGAAAATGTTCCTTTCCTTAATCAAAAATAATTTAATAACAAAAATTTTAAGAATATTTTTATAAAAAAACAATTTTTTAGGAAGAACTTTAAGTTTTCTTATTAGAAAGTCAAAAATTTTCGCAAGACTTTTTGTGCAGGTTCACGAAATGAGAAGAAAATTTTCCACTTTGTCTAGCTTGTGGTTTTCTATAAGTAACAATTACCAAACTCGCAGAAACTCAAAGTTGACTACTGACCTTTTGAAAGTAGAGATTTAAAAGCCCTTTCTTTAAATTAAAATTTCATTCCTTCTTTAACAAACTTATCTTAATTACAATTAATTAAATTTTAAAGTTCATAGTGCTACGAACTTTCGTTCCGACCTAATACACCATGTGTCATATTACATTTGTACTTGAATGAGAAATTATACAATAATATTAGTGCAGTGTTACTGTTAGTTTGTGCTTAATAAGAATTTATCTCTTAATTTCGACATCAAGTCGTACGAGGATTTAAATCTTGTTTGTAACATCATAACTAGATACGCAACGATAGCTACGACTGTTTACGCGCCGCGTTGGATCATGACTAGTTCAAATCTCTGCAAACATTCGGTGTTTACAAACAGCGTTTAAAAACAGGCGTTTACTCACACTCTTCGGTGGGGTTCGCCAGAAATATACGGCTTCGATAATGGCCAAGAAGAAAGAAATCACGGCGCTCAGCCACTTTTTTCAATTATTTCTCGTCGCGATCGATCAGACGAGATTCGCACTCGACTTCGCAACAATAATTCGTGCGCAATCGAATCCCAGGGTTCCGATGTGGGTCGCGTACACCGATCACGTGCCTTACGATTTCTGACGTAGCGACGTAGTAAGACGTCGGGTAGGTACGTGTAGGTATAGGCAGTCAGTCAGTCAGTCACGCTCGGTCACTCACCTACTTCTGCCAAGCACCAAAGTCGCTAGAAATCTGCTGTCTTGAAACTTCAGCTGCTCTTCCTCCGTCGATATTGAAGCCGCGGCGCCCGGGGCGCCCGATTTGCGTTGTCCCATGCTGCCTACGGCCCTGCAAAACAACACATACTCGTTAGGCGGGTTGCGTATCGTAGGAGACGAAGAACTTGATGTCTTGAAACCATATTCATTCTAAATTTCTTGAAGTAATGAGATCTTACTTCAAAAGAGTGAAAGTACCGAAAATAAAATACATTGAAAAAAAGTGAAAATATTTGCACTATTCAATAAAAGTGGTAGATTTTCACTTTTTTTTTTGGAATAAAATTTCACGTTTTTTGGAATGAGATTCACTCCAAAGGAATGAAAGAATCTCTCTCCTTTTTTTAAAAGCATCTTATACTCCGCAAGAATGAAAATCTGTCACTCTTATTTAAGAATGAAATATTTTTATTTTTTTTTCAATAGTAACAGTATTTTAATTCTTTTAGAATGAAAATTTACTCCAAGAAATTTAGAGTACAGTACAGATCTTTAAGAAAAACTTTAAGACATTCAGAGAACGTCCTAAGAACATTCCCAGAATATTCCCAGGACATCCTTTAGATAAAGATGCTACATGCATTTAGACAGTTGTTGATTACTATGCAGAAATAAGATCAACAATAAGCAAATTTAAAATGTTGCAAGGTATCAAGTAATTAATGTGGAAATTTTTACTAATAATGATGATAAAGAGTACAATGCTCTTATCAGCTTTGTCAGTAAAAATTGTTATATTGATAAATTACGTGACATGTTATAATATCTTGAATTTTCTCATTGTTTGCTTTATTTTTACATATTGCTTTACATATTATGAGCTATATTAATATTTACTTATTGTTAAAAAACAAATGTTCTTAATTTTGGAATATTTAAATCGAATGCTCTTTAAATATATTGGATATTCTACTTAGATATCTATATTTATATACTGAGAAAAAAATTGTTCATTTGACTAAAATTAATTTAGCTCGTCTTTATTTCTTTCGGTGAAGGGTGATTAAATTAAACATATTATATTCAATTTAAATACGTTCTGCAATAAAAGAAATAAAGATGAACTAACTATTAAAAATTATTTAGTTAAGTGAACAATTTTTTTCTCAGTGTAACAAAAAAAACATTCATAGAATATAAAAATTAACAGCATATTCTATAAAACATTGTACAAAATATTCTACGCATGTATAAATATGACAGTTTTTAATACCTTCAGTACATAGACTATATGGATAGTCTTCATAAATATTTGCAGAATATTTATATAATGTTTGTACGAGGTCTGGCTATTAAATAACGAGACTGCGCGCGCAGAAGGCGTCCTAGAGGGGGTAGGGTGGGAAACGAATGCAGCGTTGGATAGCTGGAACTGTCTACTATTCCAGTACGAAAACACGTTTTTGTCGTAGTAGTAGTATTTTTTCTATAGAGGTTAGAAACGAACTTGTTTTTTTCTCATGCCGATAACAATGTGTGACCAAAAACATGAGCAACGGATCAATGTGAAATTTCTCGTTAAATTAAAAAAAACTCCGACTGAGTGCTATAAGTTGTTGAAAGAGGCCTATGGTGAGAATTCTCTATCTCGTACGCGTGTTTTCGAATGGAAAACTCCTGCATCGCCAAGAATGAAAAAAGCAAGGATGTCCAAATCAAAATTTAAAGCCATGCTAATCGTTTTTTTCGACATCAACGGCATCGTGATGACTGAATGGGTTCCAGAGGGTCAAACTGTAAACCAAACTTACTATTTGACAGTTTTGGCAACACTGCGAGAGTAAGTTCGTAAGAAACGGCCGGAGTTGTGGAAAAACAAGTCGTGGATCTTACACCAGGACAACGCATCTGCCCATAACGCGCTGTCTGTGAAGCGTTATTTAGCCGCTAGAGGCACTCCAGTGCTCGAACACGCGCCGTACTCGCCTGATTTAGCACCCTGTGACTTTTTCCTGTTTCCGAAGATCAAGTCTGCCTTAAAAGGAACCCGATTCGAGTCGATGGAAAAGGTGAAGCGAAAATCGGCGGAGCTCCTAAATGCTCTTACAAAAGAAGACTTCCAGCATTGCTTTGACCAATGGAAAAAACGAATGGAACGATGTGTGGCGAGGGGAGAGGAGTACATTGAAGGGGAGCATTCAATTGTAGAATAATTTTTAAAATAAAACTCTTTTTCATAAGCAGTCTCGTTATTTAATAGCCAGACCTTATGCTATCTAGAAATTTGATTGTTAACGGCTTTGCTTCTGTTGTAATTTCGTCTTCTCTGTAGTTGAAAAACTCAATTGACAGTTAATGATTTATGCATATCTTGAGAATGCGCAACCCTCTTCGATGTTGCTTTTATCTTAATTCTAAGTAATCAAATGTTAAGATGCTTATTAGCATCATTATTAAATTGATAATCAATTTAATTTGATATATTATTATTTCAGTTTCAATTTACAATTGCGTTTCGAGTCCGATAATAATCAATAGACAGTTTTATTTAACTGAAAGATTTACGTATTTAAGATTTACACAGAAATATTTTTAAGCGTGAAAATCCAGCTTCGATCATATATTTAACGCGCTTCTTGCTTATTTGTATTCACATTTACATTCACATTACGTTTTTGTTTGTTTGGTCTAGTTTATTTATTATTTAAACAATAGAATAAAAAGCTTTGAGCAAAGCTACGTTTAATACTAGTTAAGTAATAAAGACAAGTTACAAAAGAGTCATAATAAATAATGGAAATGTTACAACAAAATAATAATATAATAAACAAAAAAATTATATAATTTCGATCCTCCTTGTCATATTTTATATTGTAACATTTCCATTATTTATTAAGACTCTTTTGTAACTTATTGTTAGTGTTTATTACTTAACTAGAATTAAAACTCAACTTGATTCAAAGCCTTTTAACTCTATTATTTGAATAATAATAGAGGAATAAGTTAAATTAATATCTTCTCAAGTTTTTTATACACAAAGTTCGAACAAATGTTTTTCCAGTGATTTTATTGACTCTGCGGAGAACCGGAAGATTTTCTTTTTTTACAAAAAAGCATGAACTTTGACACGCGTGATACGTGAATATTCGCACTTCGAGTCCAGTGGAATATTTCTAAATTGGCGGTCAGTCGATTGTCACCTAAATATCTAAATGGGATAATTGGGCTTGGATTGGCCTTACCAGCTATTTTTAGCCATGGCGAAGGGGATAGACCCTATTCCACTGGCTAAAAATAATCCGATGGCGTTCGCGCTTTGTCGCAGGCATGTACTTATTAGAATGATCCTGCTTCCTTTTGACAATCTTCTTATCCTCTCGGCCTCGACATACGGGAAGAACCGGATAAATCCATGAGAACGGATTCGAATTAAAACAAATGCGTCTTGTTTTCAGCACGCAAGTTTGTCAGTCTAATGTAATTCCATATGACTAAACAGTCAATCGGATTCGATCTTGATTCGATCTCAGATTTCACGGAGAAAAAAAAGATATCAAATATTCAATAATAATTTTAAGACATATGGCTCAATTTTAAGCAGAATCATAAGGCTCATAACTTGTTTTCATACAAGACTTCTACGAGCGTATGACTGAAAATTATAATTCATATGCGTACCTTAAGGTGTACGATTATGCGTAAATAGACAATTTCTTATGGCTAGCAAGAAGCTGTTTGTAAAAATACTGCTTCGTACAGTTACAAACATTCCAGACATAAGTTCTTACAAAGAAGTCTTACGAGAACAAGTCTTGCAATTGCTAGAATTGACTGTTTTATTAAAAAAATTTTCTAAAGTCGCAGATAGTCGATTATACATGCTGAGAATCCTTATAGAAATTAAAAATAAAACTAGAAAATAGTGATTAATTGCTTATTTTAAGTAATAAAAGCACTTGTTCTTTAATGCCTTTAATACTGAAAGAAAGTAATTTTTAATATTAAATTGGATTTTTCTAAGAATGCAATTTCAACTTCTGAATCTGCGTAGTTTTCGAAATTATTTGATCCAATTTTAACGCACCGCGTGACATCATCCACCGGTTGTACCCCATCAACAAGAATCTGTCCTGTCAGCTTCAGACATCACCTGATTACGATTAACAAGTCTATAACGGGCTTATCCCAAAGTAATGGTCTAATTATCTCTTCAAACATGAAAGCCTTGTGCGAAAATGACACCTGTGACGTTTTAAAGTATCACAAGCAGATCACAATACCTTATTTTAGCATGTAGTCATTAACACTTCTTTTCACATTTATCCTCATTTTATTCAAAGAGCTAATCCAAAATAAACACTTTATTTTCAAAGAATTCTTAAATAGCTGATAAATAGCTGATATTTTTTTACTTCTCCATTATTAAGAATCAGTATAATCTATGCAAAGTTATTGGAATTGAAAATTTAATAAAGTCAATATTTAAATATTTAACAACACAATTTTATAGTTTAAATAAAATTTTTCTCATTTTATTTTATGTTTACATCTTATTGAAATAATTTTGGATTCAGGTTCTATCGCCATCAAACTTTTTGTATTACTTTCAAATACAATAGAAAAATCTGTAATTCTTTAATTCATAATTTTTTCGTGAAATTAAAAGTTACATCCTTAATTATAATATATCTTTAATTACTTATTTTAACATTACACTTTATTCTCTTTTACTTTTTGTATAAATATTCAATTCTAAAATATGTAATTTAGAAGGGTCTTGTCCGAGCTTAGCAAATTGATGTGCGCTAATATTTTAATCTTATCATATAAATAATAAAAACAAATTTCAAACGTTTCAACCTTTATTAACAGTCCTCTTAAATGAATGTATACAGAGTTATATATGTTTCTTAAAATACAATACATAAAATTAAATTATCTTCTTCTTACTTCGTTAAATCTCATTATTTATTGTTGAATAAAGTCCTTGATGTTCTTTTAAACATGATTATCTTGTTATATAGTGAATCCTTATTCAAAAAGTATAATATATGGTAGAATCATTACCCAGGAATTTTGATTTACAGACCACATACATAAACAATCTATTTATGATAGTGTCATTATTGT